CTGGCTAATTTTTGTATTTTCAGTAGAGAGGGGATTTCATCATGTTGGCCAGACTGGTCTCAAACTCCTGACCTCAGTTGATCCAGCCGCTTCGCCCTCCCAAAGTGGTGGGATTACACACGTGAACCACTGCACCCAGCCTGTGGTCTTTTGATTCTCTAAGTGGCTTAATAGGACAAAGTTGATTTGAGCCAATACTTCTGGCATGTTCATTTTAATTTGTAACAGAAACTTTTTCTGAATCTATCCCCAGAAGGTGAGTTGGAAAACTGCAACCATAACCAAAGCTAGAAACTACTGGAAGTAGTCAGTGTTTCTCTTCATCACCAAAGACTTGTCTCCAATTTTTACTATTGTTCTATTTTTTCCAGCCAGTCAACAGTAGTAGCTGAAAAGAGAGAGGACACTGATGAAGAACACGGCAGGCACAGAGAAAAGGAAAAGTATGTGGAGCTTTGCTGTGTATCTGTCAGTTCATTCTACTCCTCTAGAATGTGGCGTTCTCAGGACTTGATGTCCTCCAGGCCCCCAGATGAAGGTAGTGAGCACCCTGAGAGCCAGCTGGACTCACCTCTTGTGTGTAACTGCACAGCCACAGCATCAGAGTGGGGGGGATTGTCCTGCACTTCTGGAATCATCTCTCTTGGTCATGGTGGCTACTGCTGCATTGTCCTTCTGAGGTAGGTGAGATCGGGTGTTCACAGCCTCCCTTGAAAGGAAACAAGAGACTTGTCAGGTCGATGGAGAGAACAAGCTGTTCCACAGTGCACACACCATGTCCTAAGCTTGTGGTTAGAACATCCTGCAGCAAGGAGGTGGAAGAGCAGAAGGGAAAAGTCTCCAAATCTGTGCAGGCACAGAAACCCACAATTAGTGTTCTTGGGCTGATTTATGCTCATTATAATAGTAGAAACAGAGCCCTGAGTGGGAAGTTAAGATGCTAATGAGACATGAGATGCATGTTCTAGAGTGTACAACCACAGTGCATGCACACCCAGGAGACCACAGACATGCTTAAAACAACACCCCTTCCCACGTCTTCATGAATAAACCCTCCCCCATGAGGGGAGGGTACCGTCTCACTTTTGAGCAGCCTGCTCTGATCAGCTGTCAGAGTGTACTTTCACTTTGCAATCATTCTCTTGCTTACTTTTACTTTGGACTTGCTCTCAAATTGTTTTGTGCGGCAAAGTCAAGAACCCAAACCGGTCCACCGGCTACACTTCCTTCCCTTTTCCTTTCTTTCTGTATCTTGTTGCTAGGGATAACTTTGCCCCTGCCGGCAGCGTGCCCCTAGGAACTGAGGATGGCGCACTGTGGCTGGCGTCCTCCTCAGCTTGGCCTTGGGTCACTAAGTGCAGCCATGGTAAGAGGTTCTGGGAATGAGTGGCACTGCCTTGTGCAATGGTCCCCATGGGGGTGGCACACAGGTGCTAGTATCTGTGGCATTTTCACAACTGTTTAAAAATACTCAAGAATGTACAGAGGAGAGCAGTTCTGGGGCCTGACCTGTGTCCCCCACCTGTTCATCTGCATGGCCATGCATCTGATGCTGTCAGAAATGAAAAATGCCACTGCCCCTTTGCAAAGCACTACTTAGATTTCCTCTTCTTGAAGGTGGTGGCACGATGCCCAGGTTGAGATGGACGCAGGAGTCAGCATCCCAAAGTAAAAGGAGAGACTTTAGCAGAAATACCCGAGCTTCTCAATGTGAATGAACAGGCCTTCTAACCTTTGGCAACCGTGGATTTCACATTGAGATGTTTTTGTGCTCAGAGTGGTTTTTCCTTTTTTGCAGGTGGTTTATTGAAAAATAGAAAGGACAGAAAAGGAAAAGCAGGAGAAGGTGTGTGGGGAGCTGGGACCCTGGGCCTGTGCAGATGAGGCTCAAGGTGCTTCTGGCAAGGCTGCCACCATCCGGGGCACTGGCACATTGAGGCACAGCACGGCCTGCCTTCCTGATGATGCCGTCTGTCCCAGTTGCTCACTGGAAGTTGCAGTGCCCAGAGTTTTGTATTGACGGAAATTTTAAAAAAATATTCTATTAGGCCAGGAGCGGTGGCTCACGCCTGTAATCGCAGCACTTTGGGTGGCCAAGGTGGGAGAATCACCTGAGGTCAGGAGTTTGAGACCAGCCTGCTTAACATGGAGAAGCCCTATCTCTACTAAAAATACAAAAGTAGCCGGGCATGGTGGTGGGCGCCTGTAGTCCTGGCTACTTGGAAGGCTGAGGCAGAAGAATTGCTTGAACCCAGCAGGCGGAAGTTGCAGTGAACTGAGATCACACCATTGCACTCCAGCCTGGGCAACAAGAGCAAAACTCAGTCTCAATATATATATGTGTATACGTATGTGTATACAATATATATGTATACATATGTGTGTATGGTATAGAACGAACACACTTTTATGCTTTTTGAAAATAGCTAATAAAGCTTTCTGGCTAAGTTGTTAGTAATGATAATCTCTCTAATGTGCTTAAAGGCGGCCAAAGCTGCAGGGTTCCCACCCTCACTGGGTACCTGTGCTTCCCTGCTTGTCCTATTTTCAAGTGTCTTTCCCTGTTGGTTGCCCCATGACTGCTGACATCACGCCTTCTGGAGGAAACCACACTCTTCCTTGCCCATTGAGGGTTGGAAAACTGGATAATTAGGCTGGATGAAGAGAGGAGATACCATTTGCTCTGTGTGGGCACCATCATCACCTGCACTTGAAAGTGAGGCTGAGGTGCAGAAGGCACAAAATGTGGCCACATCTCTCAGCTGGCAAGTGGCCCAGGGGTAATGTGAGCCTGAGTGGGCAACTCTGTGACAGAGGACAGGGTGCATTGCAGCATTGGCCACTGTGACTGCAGGGCCAAAAGGAACCAGGGCTGAGAGAAACCTGGAGACATGCTGGGGTGGGGCCAGACCAGGGCCTGGAGAGAGCCTCCACTGCCCTCACAGGGCCTGGGGAAGACGGACCCAGGAGGGGGCACCTGCCCCTCTCCCCTAGCTTTCCTGAGCCTTAGCATTGTCACCCAGCCCACACTGGTATCCCCAGTGTCCACCAGGTACTTTTCATGTGCCTCCTCCTTAATCTTCTGAACCTCTCCATGAGGACAGTGTTGGGTTTGCATTTCTGTAGTTGAGGGAAGGATTCAAGCCCGGACAGTTCTTAGGAATGGGTCCACTGCCAGTGACTGGAGCCACACTTGAGCCCCAGTAGCTCAGACTTCTGAGACCAGAGTGTTCTGAGTTCTGAGTTGTTGGGCGGGCAGTGTCCTGTGCCAGCTGTTCCTGCCCACTACAGGCTGCCAGCCAAGGCAGGCGACCAGAACAGGAGAGCATTGCTTAGAATCCAAGACATGAATTTCTTTCCCTGGGCCAGGCCAGGACTCAGATGAAGCTGACTGAGGAGTCAGGTGCTTCCTGTCAAGGAAATGTGTCCCACATCTGACGATCCAGAAGTCACAGCTGCTCAGTATTGAGTCTTGAGGCGGGGGGGGCGGATGGGCTGGTTTGAAAAGCAGAATTCTGCTAAGGGACTTGTTAAAACGCAGTTTCTGATTCAGTAGGTCTGGGGCAGGACTTGAAAACTGCATTTCTAACAAGCTCCCGGGTAATTCCAATGCTGCTTGTACCAGGACCCCACTTTGAGAACCACCACCCTAAGGCAATCTAGTTTGATTTCTAATATGAGAAGAGGGCTGGGAAGCAGAGGTGTAGTATCAATGAGTTCATGCCTGGCCCATCCTGGAGAGCTCCCCACCCCAAAGCTGCAGCGTTTGATTTCCTTGGCATCCTGGGAATGACAGACACCCAGGAAGGGACTGAATGTGAGGCAAGAGGCCATCCAGAGGCTTGACTTTACACAGCACCTGGGGGTCCTGCCAGTCCACAACTGGCCCCCACACCCTCAGTCCTTCCCACCCCTCACACACTGACCAGGCTTGTGCTACTGCCTTTGGCTGTTTCGGCCTGGGATATGACCCTAGGAGCTCTCAGTGGTAACTTCTGATCCAAATACATGCTGATCTAGTATGACAAGGACTTAGAATGTGCTAGTAATGAGGACCTTGAAAATTTAACAAATGGAGTCAATCGTGGCAGCCTTCAGAATAATTATCAGTGTTCTCTTTTCTAAGTACAGTATCACATCCTTGAGAGCACATGGACAGTAGAGGGCGTTCTGAGCCCACTGAAGCCACAATTGTCACGTTGGACCCCCCAGAATCCCTTGTAGATTGGGCTTCATCATTTACACCAAGATTTGGCTAAAATTTCCTTCACCCACCAAGTGCATTTGTTAATTAATCATGCTGTCATTTTGCCTTTTAGTGAATGAAAGTCAGACATGTAAAGAGAGATAGTGCAATTAGAAAGAAACAGCATATTGAATTAAAGTACTAGTAAACATCCCTGTTTAAGCGGTGATATAATGTTTAAAACTTTTTATCTTAAGGAA